TGGCGGTGCTTACTGATGCGCAAACGGCCAACACCAAATACCAGGCCGAGGTGGATCGCCGGGGTCGAACAGCTGATGACCTGGCTCTAAAGGTTCAGCGTCTTGAACTTGCTTTGAAAGGCGAGACAGAGAAGGTTGTTGTTCTGAGCAAGGAGCTGGAGGCCGAGAGGGTTTCTTTCGGGGCTTACAAGGAGAAAGCGCGCAACAAGGTCTTAACTCAACATCAGGCTGGCTTTGCTCAGGCCGCCCGACAAGCATGCTTTTTCGGCGACTTCCCCCCTGAATTTCACCTGGACATGACCAAGGACTTCTTCCAGGGGAAGTTGGTGGACCTGACTTCTATCCCTCCTGACCAACAAGCCGATGAGGAGGCCCCGGCACGGCCAGCTAGGCCGAATGAGGAGGTGACGGCGTACAAGGAGGGTGCGCTGGAGGATGGTCCAGTTCAGGGGGAGCCGGAGGTTAGGTCTTAAGCTTTTTTCTTGGTTTTTGTAATGTTGTGCCGATAGTGCCCCTTCTTTAATGTATCTTTTGCAAGGCCAGTAGTGCCTTATTGAATGAATTTTACTTTCGTTGCTGTTGCATATTGGTGTAAATTTTTCTTTAGATGATAACAACTCGATTGATGTAAGCCGCCTCCTTATTCGAGAAAGATTTCGGGAGGGAAAACTAACTAAATCCGCATCCTTGGTCGAGAGACATCTCGGGAGGGAAGACTTGTAAAATTAATGAAAGTCACATCCTTGGCCGAGAGACATCTCGGGAGGGAAGACTTGTAAATTTAATGAAAGTCACATCCTTGGCCGAGAGACATCTCGGGAGGGAAGACTTGTAAAATTAATGAAAGTCACATCCTTGGACGAGAGACATATCGGGAGGGAAGACTTATAAAATCAGTGAAAGTCACATCCTTGGCCGAGAGACATCTCGGGAGGGGAGGCTTGTAAAATTTTAACATAAGGATGCAATAATATTGACAAGCTTGAATACTGAGAATGCTTTTTCATTAATGGACTGATGCCTCGTTAAAAACCTTGCCGACCAAAAACCCCTTTTCACAATTTTATAAGAGGAAAAAAGATCGGTTCAAGGAAAAGAGTGCACCATATTACACGTAGTTGAAATGTAAATACAAGTTTAGTTGTAATATGTCTTCAGATGAGTGGAGTTCCAAGTTCTTGGTATGATTTTGCCCGACAGTTCTTCTAACTTGTAAGCCCCATTGTGGAGGGCATGTCGTATCCGGAATGGGCCATCCCAATTGGCCGCCAGCTTTCCTTCAGAAGAGTTGCGCCTTGCTGACCTAGTTGCTCTCCACACGAGATAACCCTCATGAAATGTCCTCGGCTTTAGATTTGAATTAAAGCGTCGGGTCATGCGTTGTTTACATGCCTCGGCCACTATCTGTGCGTTCGTTCGTATTTCATCCAGAACATCCAATTCGGCTTGGAGTGAGTCGTCATTAGACTCCTCATGGAAGTGTTGTCGCCTGAAGGACGGTTCCCCTACTTCAACTGGGATCATCGCATCCGCGCCGTATGTTAGGCGAAAAGGCGTCTCCTTGGTGGTTGATTGGGGGGTGCATCGATATGCCCAAAGGACTTCTGGTAGCTCTTCGGCCCATGCTCCTTTTGCCGAACCGAGTCTCTTCTTGAGCTCAGTGAGTATAACCTTGTTGGCTGCTTCGGCCTGCCCGTTTGACTGAGGATGCTCCACTGATGTGAATCGGTGCCGAATGCCAAGGTTTTCAAGGAAAATGTTGAACTTCTTATCAGTGAATTGAAGACCATTGTCCGACACAATGGCATACGGGATGCCGAAGCGGGTAACCAGATTTTTCCAAACAAACTTCTGAACGTTGGCTGCGGAGATGCAGGCGAGCGGCTCGGCTTCTATCCACTTTGTAAAGTAATCTACCGCGACGAGAAGGAATTTAACCTGGCCTTTTGCTACAGGGAACGGACCGAGCACGTCTATCCCCCACAAAGCAAACGGCCACGGGGAGCTGATACTGTGCAACTCGGCAGCCGAAGCGTGGATGAGGTTTCCATGCTTTTGACATTGTACACATTTTTTAACAAACTCAGCACAATCTCCTTTCAAAGTTGGCCAATAGTATCCGGCACGCAGGACCTTGGCTGCCAAGGTTCGCCCCCTGGAATGAGAACCACAAATACCTTCATGGACTTCCCACATAACATAATCGGCTTGTAGGTTGTCGACGCATTTGAGCAACGGGGTGGAGAATCCTCGCCTGTAGAGCTCGTCGGCTACTGTGGAGTACCGAGCCGCTTGTGTTTGTATCTTTTTTGGCTTCTATCGGATTAATTGGTAAACTCCCCTCGGACAATAAAGCTCCGGATGGCCGTCATCCAGGTCGATGTCTGAGCGTCAGTTGCCATGCACTCCACCGTCACACTTGGGGAAGGAATCTCAAGGTGAATGGTTGTTCGCAACTGTCCTGGCTTCAGGCTACTGGCGAGCCGAGCTAGCTGATCGGCTCGTTCATTGTTGGCACGTAATACGTGGCAAACCTGCACCTCGGTGAAGTCGTCCTTGAGCTTCTGGAAGAGGTGGTAATATTGCAGCAGATTGGAGTCCTTAACCTGGAAGTTGTCATTGATCGTTCATTGTTGGCGCGCAATACGTGGCAAACCTGCACCTCGGTGAAGTCGTCCTTGAGCTTCTGGAAGAGGTGGTAATATTGCAGCAGATTGGAGTCCTTGACTTGGAAGTTGTCATTGACTTGTTCAGCCACGATCTTCGAATCGGTCCAGCATATGATTTTTGTGACGTTCATTTTAGTTGCTAGTCTCATTCCTACTATCAAGGCTTCGTATTCGGCCTGATTGTTTGATGCACGGAAGCCGAACCGAAGAGATTGTTCAACTGTGATTCCTGAAGGGCTAGCCAGAATTATGCCAGCCCCGCTACCTTGGGCATTAGAGGATCCATCAACATGCATGGTCCAAGGTTCGTCCTCAAAACATCCCGGAGGAGTGAGCTCGTTAACAAAATCGGCCAAATGTTGTGACTTGATCGACCCTCTTAGCTCGAAAGATATGTCAAATTCTGAGAGCTCAACCGACCATGCCATCATCCGGCCGGTGATTTCTGGTTTCTGGAGGACCTTTGCGACCGGACAGTCGGTTCTGACTACAATCTTATGGCTTTGAAAGTATTGTCTCAATCGCCGAGCGGTATAGATGAGCTCTAAGGCAACTTTTTCCAACAGCTGATAACGTCGCTCAGCATCTTGCAGCGTCCGGCTGATAAAATAGATGGGTTGTTGACCTTCCTGGTTTTCTTGTATTATGACGGCACTGACTGCACTGTTCAAAACTGACAGGTAGACGACCATGGCTAGGCCACTGACCGGTTTAGACAAAATTGGAGGCGTGCAAAGCCATTTTTTAAACTGCTAAAAAGATTCTTCACACTCCTGGGTCCACTTGAATCGTTCCGTTTTCTTGAGCAGAAGTAGAATCGCCTTAGCTATCTCGGCTAAGCAAGGGAGAAATCGGGACAGCGAGGTAAGCCGTCTGGCTAACTTATGAACTTCCTTTAATGTGACTAGGCTTTTCATATCCAGGATGGCCTGGCATTTGTCTGGGTTTGCCTCAATGCCCCGGTTGGACAACATAAACCCCAAAAACTTGCCACCCGAGACTCCAAATACGCATTTCTCGAGGTTAAGTCTCATTTGGTGTCGCTGAAGCGCCTGGAATACTTCGGTCAAGTCGCGTGTATGCGCCGACACATCGCTCGACTTCACTACCATATCATCCACATACACCTCCATGCTCCGGCCAATCTGATCGTGAAAGATTTTGTTCATCAAACGCTGATAGGTAGCACCAGCATTCTTTAAGCCGAACGGCATCACTCGGTAACAGTAGTTGGCCGTTTCGGTGATGAAGGCAGTTTTTTCTTCATCTTGAGGATGCATCCGGATCTGATTGTATCCAGAGTATGCGTCTAGGAAAGATAAAAATTTGTGGTCGGATGCCCCATCGACGAGCCGATCGATGTTTGGTAACGGGTAGGCGTCCTTGGGACAGGCTTTATTCAAGTTAGTATAATCGGTGCACATGCGCCACTTTCCATTCGGTTTTCTGACCATGACAACATTGGCCAACCAGGTCGTGTAGTGCACTTCTTGGATAAACCGAGCGTCTAACAACTTGCCCACTTCTACTTCAATTGCAGCTTTTCTTTCTTCCCTGGTCTTTCGGCGCCACTGAGCAATCGGCTTCGCCTCCTTGCTGATGGAGAGTTTGTGACAAAGGCAATTGGGGTCGATGGGGGGCATGTCAGACGGGTGCCAAGCAAACAAGGCATTGTTTTAGAGGACTACTTGTTTAATAGCCAACTGTTCTTCTTCAGACAAATTAGCTCCTAAGTGAGTGACTTGGAATTTGGACACTCCCATCTGGAATGGTTGTTTATCTTCAATGGGCTCCACCCTCTCATCTTGATCGATCCGAGGATCAAGGTCCATGGCCGATTGCTGTGATACCAAGTGCACCCCTCTCGGTTTATTCGGTGCTTTGTTCTTCATTTTCGGCAATCGCAAGTTGGTAAAATAACATTCTCGCACAATTTTTTGGTCAGCATGGACAGTGACTATTCGCCCTGATTCAGCCGGAAACTTCATGGCCAGATGAGGGGTGGACACGATTGCTCCGAGCCGATTTAGAGATGGCCGACCGAGTAGAATGTTATAAGATGTGTTGGCATGCACCACCACATACTTAACCGAAATGTCTCGGTATTCCGCTCCATCAAACCCAAACCGGGTCGACAGCTTGATATATCCCTTCGTCTTGACTCGTTCGCCGGAGAATCCAACCAAAGGTTCATCATAAGGGACCAGCTCCGACTCTGGAATGCCCAATTGTTTGAATGTGTTCCAATAAAGAATGTCGGCTAAACTTCCCTGGTCGACCAACGTCTTATGCACAATATAGTTGTGAATTTCGACACTGATTACCATCGGATCATCCTGGTCCGGATCGATGCCTTTGAAGTCGTCCTTGGTGAAAGTGATAGTGGGTAGGGAATCCTCCTGCTATCGTCCGAACAGCGCGCAAGGGTCTGCGTTGGGCTGATGAGGATGAGCCTCCGCCAGCAAATCCTCCTGTTATCGTGTTGATGACTCGCCGAGGTTGTGCCGAAGGCTCTTCCTCTCTTCGATCTCTTGACCGACTGCGTTCTCTATATGAACGTGCTTCTGTCCTCCGTTGTTCGGGTTGATCATGTCGTCGCGACCGGTCAGTGTTCCTCGGACGGTTCGGACGATCCACGAAGCCTTGCAATTGTCCCTGCTTGATTAAATCTTCAATTTTATCCTTCAAGGCCGAACATTCGTCAATTGAATATCCGTGATTGCGGTGATACCGACAATATTTGGTCGTATCGGCCCGGGGAGGGGTCGACGCTCGTTTTGGAACGGCCAGTACTTCTGAAGCAAGTGCTTGCTCCAGTATTGCTGACCGGCTAGTGTTGAGTGGTGTATATTGGGAATACTTCAGGCCCCGAGGGGGTCTTTCCCAGGGTGCGAGTTCTTTCGGACGGCTCCGAAAATTGTTTTCAACAGACTTTTCGAGCTTGGTTGTTACTTCTGCTCTAGCTTGGTTGCGGAACTCAGCTAATTCCTCCATCTGCATGTATTTATCAGCTCGTCGCCGGAGGTCATCCATGTTGGTTGGTGGCTTCTTACAGATGTTGTTGGCAAAGGGACCTGGCTTTAAGGCAGTGGTCAGGTGGTGTAGGGCGACAGCCGGGTTAAGGTCTCGGATTTCCAACGCCGCTTTATTGAATCGGCTCATGAAAGCCCGAAGGGATTCCTTCTTTTCCTGACGGATGCTAACTAGTGCCAAGGAGGTCAGCTGGTGTGGTCGGCTTGTAGCAAATTGGATGGTGAATTGGGAGGCTAACATGATGAATGTGTCGATCGAATTAGCAGGAAGCCGAGTAAACCAGCTCAGCGCTCGCCCTTTTAATGATGTTGGGAAGATTCGGCACAAGGCAGTGTCGTTAGTGGTAATCAGAGTAACCTGCGTTAAAAACACATTCACGTGTTCATCTGGGTTGGTGGTACCATCGTATTTATCAAGTGGCAGGGACTTCCAATTATCAAGAAGTGCGGATTGCATGATGTTTGGTGTGAAGGGATGCCGGTATGCTCCGGCCAGCATTTGTTGCACCGGCCGGGCAACCAAAGTATTTACACCCGGAGCAGCAACAGAAGTATGGGGGATAGAGGTATGATGGCCATGCGAATGGAACGACCCCTGAGTATGGATTGTCTCAGAGGGTTTCCATGTGGGATCCCGGTACTATTTTTTGAGGGCAGCATTCTCCTCTCGTAACGCAGCCATCTCAGCAGCATCTCTCTCCCGTTGCTGCTTCATGGCGGCCATGTCTTCCTTCATTTGGCGCACCATGTCGGACAAGTTTGTCTACTCTACCGTTTCGGCGTTGTCTGCCCCGGACGGGTGCTCATCTTCGGAGTGGTGGTCTTCAACGTTATTTCTTCTTGTCTTTGCCATGATGTCTTCAAAGTTTCTTCACAGCTATCGGTTCGGCCCCACGGTGGGCGCCAAAATGTACCTGCCTGAGGGTACTCTCGTAGTCTTCTTGGTGATGAAGGGCCGAACGGAAACTTCAAATGGACTCTTCAGAGGGGGGAGGTACCTGCAAAAGGCACTCCGACGCTCAAGTTAGGACAAGCACGATATTCTAGGATAACTAATGAACAGTGACGTACCTCGTTACGTGTGACCTATTTATAATACCTGACATGGGCCTGAACATGGTGGGCCTATTCTAATCTTTACCAAATTAGGTAATACGATGCTAATAAGCTAATCATGTCTTAATTATGCACTTGTCCTTGTTAACTGTGATTTGTACTATAACACGTTTAACCTATCGACACATTGCCGAGCCGACAGGCTAATGCAGAGAAGGTTGCATGTCTTCGGCTGTTGACCGGGCCGGTAAACGCTTACTTGGTAATCCTATCGTATCGACATTGGGCCGAGCCGATACGTAGTATGCGGGGATGCATCATGCTATTTGCATCGGCCTTCAGCCGAGCCGACATGTGCCAGTTGACTAATCTCGGCCTTCGGCTATAAGCCGAGCTGATGCTAACGTCAACCTTGGGTATGGTCCAGTTCGCATGGGTGTCTGACGGAACGGCACGTGTTGGTCAACGTGACCGATAGGGTCCTCCCGGTACAGGTTTGAATCAGTGGCTAAAACTGTTGCAAAGTGAAGGAATACAATGAGTATCTTTATGTTGGCAAACTTGTTGCCATTGTTTTGTAGTTTTAGTGTTTTTTTTCTTTTATAAAACTATATGAAGTCCAGATTGTGTATTTTTTATTTTTTTTATTGTAAAATTTTATCATTTAGTTATATAGAAAAACTGAAAGATGAAAATTGAGATGAGATGAACATTTTGCTTTAGGGAGGGGCTAGGGTGTGTATTCTTATCACTCGGATAAAAGGCGAAAGATTAATAGGAAAATAGTGAAAGATTGATTTGTGATTTAAGGTGACTTTTATAATCGGTTAAAAATAATTAATTTTGAAAGTCTATTTTACACTGATGTATATATGATATAACTATTTTAATAATGTAGAATTAATGTCAAACAAAACCATAAAAGGTTAACATGCAAGCACCAACATTCAAGGAAAATACCAACATTTCAATCTCTCATCAAGAATACCAAAACTCCAATTCTCAATGTACAACCTCCTTGGATTCAATCGCTACAACTATAGATTTCAGAAACTCCATTAATCATAAACTCTCAATATACTCGACGAATCAATGTCTCACCCACATCCAAGGTTCCAGTAGTTCTAATTGGTTAGCACGAGGCTTCGTCCACTACTACTTGCACATATGCTCGCAACACGAGCGATACCACCCAACCATTACTTCTTACGTAAGCAAGAAGTATCAAAACAAATAAGCAATCATGAGAATGAAGAAAAGCAATCATAAATAACATCATCTAAGCTATATCATGTCTATCAGCCAAATTATGAGAAAACAATACATAATTAAGCACAACACCAACAACACAAGGAAAACATCATCATCATCATCATCATTATCATAAATCAAAGCATCACCAAGGTACACAACAAACAAAACGTTGTCAAAGTACACAACAGAATCATGATAAACACATAACACACACGTCCGATTTGAATTAATCGTGCTCTGATACCACTAAATATGACACGCTCCACCCCCACATACATATACAATAATTATGAAAACATAGTCTTGGAGTAAATAAATCTTTTGAATTAAAATCATGGTTCCATTAACATGAGAGTAGAGAATTCACATTCGTAAACATAATCATAATTCACTTGCAGAAATTATAGAAGAAATAAAGTTGAAGGTTTTCCAAAACAAAAGAAACTAAATTCCCAAACTAAGCCTAACTATGCCCCAATGTCACATATCCTATCAGAGCACTCTCAACTGAAGCCTAAGCCTCATCACCAACATCCTTATGCTGATGATCACCTGCAACACAATTTAAACACATGCAAGAACAACAAGGGAGTGATAAACATCTCACTCAAGTTCAGGTGCAGAAATAAGGTTAGATAACACACACAACAAACATAAGTCACAAGCAAAAATCACATGTAAACAATACACATACACAATCAATATCTCATACACACTCATTTATCATATAATGATGTCATGGACTCGACTCATAAATGCATGCATGTGGCACCATACGGAAGTTTCACATTTCTCATCATTTCATCACTAGTGACCCAAGGTACACCTGGAATAGCTTGTTACATCACTGGTATGCGGCATAAGCGGCACACCTGGAATAAATCATTTCCTCACTGGTGACCCAAGGTACACCTGGAATAACTTGTTACATCATTGGTATGCGGCCTAAGCAGCACACCTGGAATAAATCATTTCATCACTGGTGACCCAAGGTACACCTGGAATAGCTTGTTAAATCATTGGTATGTAGCCTAAGTAGCACACTTGGAATAAATCATTTCATCACTGGTGACCCAAGGTACACTTGGAATAGCTTGTTACATCACTGGTATACGGCCTAATTGGCACACCTGGAGTCATATATGTACATGATGCATGTCACACATTCACTATTTCATTGACTCAACATTTCACTTATCACGTCTCATCATATCTTATGTCACATTATCTCATAACATCATATCACAGATTATATGTTCATTCTTCACATTCTCACATCGTATTCACATAGTCTCATACAAGGAACTTCTCGTAATCATATAAATCAAAATAGGACATAAATCATACCAAGAAGTTATCCAAAACATGAAGCCATCATCAATTTTACATATAATGCCTCAAAATCATCCAAAGATCATATTCCTAATTTTACTTCATAGGATTTCCCACAAGAACCCACAAAGCACTCTAATTCATATCAAAACTTGTCTATTTTTTAAATTAAACACATATTTACACTTAGCAAATATCACGGAATACAATAGAAAACTTAGAAGGTAAAACAGAAAAATATTAGAATTTTGCCTGTTTCTCATAGGGTTTCCCGTAAGAACCCATAAGGCACTCTAATCCATATTAAAACATATCTATTCTTGAAATTGAACACATATTTACACTCAACATCACATAAGGAACGCAACAGAGTATTCAAAAGCAAAATAGAAAACATTTATATTTTTTCTGTTCCTAGAAGCATGCATTAGGCAAGGGATTGGGGGTCAATCCTTCTACCCAACAATTATTCCCACACCCCCAAGCGAGGTTTCTCACTCCCCCTTACCTGGATAAGCAGAAGATGAAGCTAGAGCAGAATCTGGTTGATCTCGTTCTCTTGGTTCTCCTTGGTCTTCAAAGACTATGTCCACGAGCAGTGCCAGAGTTTGTTATTTATAGATGTCAGAAGTGGCCAGAACGGCCCGTTTCGGATCTGAAACGGCCCGTTCTGGATCCTTTCATCATGTGTTAAATTTGCATCTGGAACGGGCTGTTCTTAAACCAGAACAGCCTGTTCTAGAGTTGAGTTTAACTTATAACGGCCATGTTTGGAACGACCCGTTCTTAAACCAGAACGGCCCGTTCCCAACTAAGGTTATAGGCCTTTTTTTTTGTTGTTTGGAACGGCTAATTCCAGTTTGGGAACGCCCCGTTCCAATTTTGGGAATGGCCCGTTTCATTTTGGGAATGACCCGTTTTAGGCTACTAAAACACCCTTATTGGGCTTTTTGCCTTCTGATGTCATAACATGGTGTTCTCATGTTTTGGGAGCTCCTTTCCTTGATAATAGAAGTCCACTCCCTTGTTATAAGGTATGAAAACTGGGGTGTTACAACATGAAATTTTGTGCCTTTTAGTGTTATCCTAGTTTGTTTAGGTACTTTGTTGAGTCTTCAAGGACTACTCATGTCATCCTAGTGATCATCTGTCCTTAGTCTTGATAATCTAGACAAGATCTGGTGTCTACACCCCATAGTTAAAAATATTTAACCACAATTACTAATTTTCTTCCCCTCAATTAATTAAATAAAATATTAAAATAAATTTTTTAATTAAAACATCTTATATTATCATCCAAAGTATATCAAATAATTAAATTAAATATTAATAAATTCTTATTAATTAAAATAAAAATACCAAAATTATTACTTAAATACCTATATTATATTTTATGAAAATCGAGGTGTTACAACTCTATTGATCAAAAACCTCTTTGTTTATTAACAATAAAACTTTAAACTAGAAGGATCTAATATTGTGTTTTGACCTATCATATTTTATATTTTTTCTTCATTTAATAGGTTATTGTGAACCATGTTACCTATGTTGCACAAACACAACATGAGATTGTCATGTCTCCAAGTCTCACACTCTTTAGGAGTGGACACATGTGGATGCATCTCGGACACTTCGACAAACTATGTCCATACAAATTGAACATGTCTCCATCACAGACACCTACAAAATTGATGTGTCTCCATTGGGGACACCTATAAAATTGATGTGTCTCCATCGCGGATACCTGCAAATGAACACGTTTTCATATCGATGTACTATTCGATATGTAGATTCGAGATTTTTTTTTAAAAAAAAAAGTAAATCTCAATAAAAGCAAAAACAAAGAAGGAATGATTT